AGGTTCAAGCAATTCTCCTGCCTCAGCCTCCCAAGTGGCTGGGAGTACAGGTGCGCACCACCACACCTAGCTAATCTTTGTATTTTTAATAGAAACAGAGTTTCACCATGATGGCCAGGCTGGTCTCAAACTCCCGACCTCAGATGACCTACCCACCTCAGTCTCCCAAAGTGTTGGGATTACAGGTGTGAGCCACCCTGCGCCCGGCCTTTAGCAATTATTCATTGACTAGGTGATTCTACAGATAGAAATTATTATAGAAGCAACAAAGTAATTTTTACAGTTTTCAATAACCCACTCTTCAGCTGAGAACATACTTCATTTCATTTCTTGCTCGGCATAATTACGACCCACCTTGTCCTCGCCATACAATCTATTCCAAAGGGATGGATTCTTTCTGGAGCCATAAAGAATAGACTTGAAAACTACTTGTGTAGTTGTAATGTTTGTTTAAAAACTATATGCCACCAATTATTTTTATTGTTTGTTTTAAGTGCATATCTTAAATTAGAAAACCCTTGATTGTTTGGATTATATTATTCTTAGTTATAAAGAGAAAGCTAGAGTTGTTTGTAATCATAGAATCATCTTTTGGGAAGACAGTATTTTCAGGAAAATGCTCTAATAAATTCAATCTCATTCTTAAATGTTGGGTTTATTCTTGAACCAGTTAATTTGTCCATCTATTCATTTAATAAAGACTTATTAAGTACTTAGTTATTTCTTTTTCCAGCTTCATTATGGTATAATTGGCAAAAATTATATATGTTTATGCTGTACAACATGGTGTTTTGATACGTGTGTACATTGTGATTACCACAATCAAGCTAGTTAACATATACATCAGTTCACATAGTCATCTTTTTTTGTGGTTAGAATCGTCAAGATCTACTCTCTCAGTAATTTTCTTTTCTTTTTTTTAAATTTAAAAAATTTTTTTTCTTAACTTTTTTAAATTAAAAAAAATTTTTTTTTTTTTTTAAACATGGGGTTTCACCATGTTGGTCAGGCTGGTCTTGAACTCCCGGCCTCAGGTGATCCACCTGCCTTGGCCTCCAAAGTGCTTGGATTATAGGCGTGAGCCACCATGCCTGGCCTTCTCTCAGTAATTTTCATATACGAAATACATTATTAACTATAGTCGCCATGCTGTACAATACATCACCAAGGTGTCTAGTTTTTAAGGAAATGCTAATGATTAAAAAAAAATCATGTAGAGTTGTGGTCTTGCTATTTGGGCCAGGCTACTCTCAAACTCCTGGCCTCAAGCACTCTTCCTGCCATAGCCTTCCAGAGTGCTGGGATTACGGGTGTGAGCTACTGTGCCTGACACCGGTGATTTTTCATGTTTAATGTGTTAACTTGACATAACACTATTAGAAAGAATAAAGGATCTTTCCTATTTATGTAGACCTTGTGTTTCACAGAGTGCTCCCATGTTAATTCTCGTATGATACTTAATCAGTAAGCTTTTAGTTACCTTTTTTAAACCTGAAATTAATTTGGTTCTTTCTTTCCTAAACAGGATGGGAAAGTGTTCACATTTGGAGACAATAGTTCTGGGCAGCTGGGATACAGCCCCAATCCTGAGAAGAGAGGTCCGCAACTTGTGGAAAGAATTCATGGCCTAGTTTCACAGATAGATTGTGGAGGGTAATAGGCTTCTTCTTTTTTTTTTTTCTCTGCATGTGTAGAAAGTGTTATATTTTATTACTTAGAAATGACCCATATGGAATGTTATCAAATCTTAAAACCCAAAATATGTGGCTGCTCTTTTTATAGAGCATTTTCCTGCCTGAAAATTTACTTGTTTCAAATATAGTTTAATTTTTCTGTTTTTTGTCTTTATTCTAGATATTTTATTTATTTAATAAGAAATAATTGGTTCTACTAATTTATTTCTTATTAAATAAGAAATAGTTATACTGTGTATAGAACACCTTACCAGATGTTGGAGCATGGGAAGTAGGTTGATAAAAATAGCAGAGCTTTCCTGCTTAAGTTGATGAGACAAAATTAAATTAATGTAATCTCATGTGCAGAAGATGATGTATGTTTGCATATATATTCAGAGTTCTGCATAACCTAATTATAAGGACACTTTGAGTGCTTAAATATCTACCCAATGCATAATATATCTATCTATCTATCTATCTATCTATCTCTCTCTCTATATATATATATATAATACATAGAAATGCCTGCAATTAAAATGCAAATGATAGAAACCATAGTAAAGACGCATCAATAACATTCTATTTTTAAGATTAGTAGTAAGTTAATATTGACTCACCATCTGTGTAGGCACATCCTTTGATGGCCTCTAATACTGACATTGTGATAAGAGAACTGGGTACTTAATAAAAGTAAACTGTTTTCTGTGTTTGTTATTTTGTGTTAAGGGACATCATCTTTCTCAAAAGCCATGAGTGCCTCAGTCTTCATTATGGTATATTCTCTCTTCTCTAGTGATCACACCGTTGCATATGTGCACACCACTGGTCAGGTGGTATCTTTTGGTCATGGACCAAGTGACACAAGCAAGCCAACTCATCCAGAGGCCCTGAAAGAGAACTTTGATATTAGATGCTTGATTTCTGCTGATGGTATGAGTCCCACTAATTCATGATTTTTGTTCATCAGTGCCACTGGAGGAAAACTAGTATTCAGCTTCCTTTCAAAGGATCCCACAGAACTGTAGTTCCCCTAGTACTTTTATTTTATATATGTACATTGTGAATTTTTTCTTATGCAGTGACTCTTAGGGTATTGGTAATCATTTATAAAGATTAAGGTAAGTTCAAGACCAGCCTGGCCAACATGGTGAAACCCATCTCTACTAAAAACACAAATATTACCCTGGTGTGGTGGTGCAAGCCTGTAATCCCAGCTACTCGGGAAACTGAAGTGGGAGAACCACTTGAACCCAGGAGATAGAGGTTGCACTGAGCTGATGTCATCCAGCCTGAACAACAGGTCAAGACTCCATCTCAATAAATGAATGAATGAATGAATTAATTAATTAAAGAAGATTTAGATAATACAGAATAAGATCCTAACTTGATTACTTATGCATCAGAACAATACACTTTTTTTTCCCCACAAAATGAAAGCAAGTTTATTGAGAAAGTAAAGAAGCAACCAGAACAATATACTTTTATATATTTAATCAAATCTCTTGTAAAGCATGGCCACCTGGCTGCATTATGCAAGTGCATGAAAACCTAAATTTTGGACTAAGTGAATATATGACATGTAATCTGATCAAAAGTGATCTTTCATTTCAATATGATGGGGGAAAGAAAAATAAAAAATTGTTCTTTTATGTGTTTGTAGTCAAAATCCATTTAGGAGAACATAAATTGCTGGTAAGTGAGTATATTTGGCTTGATGTATTTATCATATTTATTTTTTATTTCTAAAAACTCTAAGCATGGATTTATGACTTTCTTTTAGACCTCATGGATGTTCAAGTCAAACACATTTTTGCTGGAAAATATGCCAACTTTGTGACAACTCATCAGGTATCTATTATATTTTTTGTTCCTTTAAAAAAATTTTTTTCAAGATTTCACAGCAGTATTTGAAATACTGTATTATTCATATATATTCAGGTGTTTTCCTAAAAAATTAAGGTCCTGTATTCAAATACTTATGAAAAAATATTACATAATTCTCACTTCCTTATTTGCCAATGTTCCTAACAGATTAGACCCCACCACCACCATTTCAGATTTCTTTTTTCTTTATTGGCAAGTGTGTATATTGAATTTGCATCATGTAAATGCGCATACAGATGTAACTTGTATCAACAGCAGCTGTTTCCATTTTCATGAGGGAACTGAATTTTTCCTGTCCAGAACTGTCAAGGAAGGGTTTCTGAGATGTCCTGCAGGGAATGCCTCCTTGAGTGGAAGTATGGCCATGTGTGCGAGTTTATAGGGGTGTGTGTGGCAGGGGTGGTGTGCAGCGTCTCAGCTGTCCTCTGTTGCAAGGGTTGCATCATTGAGTCCCCAACTCAAGTTTATTGCTTAATAAAATTAATGATGATAAATAACAGTAATAACTAATTTTAACTGTAGTCATCATGTGTCGGCACCAAAGTCCTTCAAATAGATCAAAATGTTTAATGCTCATATCACCTCTCACTGACATTATTTTTCACATTTTACAGATGAAAAAAACTGAGCCTCCAAGAGGTGACTTTATTCAAAGTTGTACTGGTAGTAAGTGGTAGAGCTGGATTCAGATCCAGGCAGTCCAACCCAATAGCTTACACCACTATCTACCAAGCTTGGTGCCTTCCTAAGTGTTAATAGGAGGGATTTTATTGTTACATTTCTGGGTGAGTTTGCAAGTATCTTTGTGGAAAAAAAAAACCTTCATAGTTATTTTTCTAATTTGTGCTTTTTCCTGTTATCAGGAATGTTTTAAACTTGACATTTAGAACTTGACATTTGAAACATTCTGATAACAGGAAAAAGTACAAATTAGGAACATAAGAGCCCCTGGCACAGAAGGTGGTCAGAGGCAAAGGTTTCTGTACTGCTGGGACAGTTAGGAGACTATACTTTGGTGCTCTATCATAGCTATTCAATCAGCCACTCAACAAAAATTGAGAGCCTTTTATATATCAGGCTCTGCTCTTGGTGCCTGGGACAAAAGTGAATAAATCATACAGACAAGATTGCCCTCATTCATAGTATTTGGACTCTACAGGCAAGGCTGGACCATAAATATGTAAATGCAAAATAAATAAGATTGTATTAGAGGCCGGATGTGGTGGCTCATGCCTGTAATCCCAGCAATTTGGGAGGCCAGGGCAGGTGGATCACTTGAGGTCAGGAGTTCAAGACCAGCCTGGCCAACAAGGTGAAACCCCATCTCTAGTAAAAATACAAAAACTAGCCAGGCATAGTGGCACGAGCCTGTAATCCCAGCTACTCGGGACGTTGAGGGAGGAAAATTGCTTGAACCCAGGAGGTGGAGGTTGCAGTGAGCTGAGATTGCACCACTGTATTCCAGCTTGGGGCACAGAGGAAGACTCCATCTCAAAAAAAAATTATGTTAGACGGTGACAAGTACTCTGAAGAAAACACATCGATCGTTTGAGATTGTTGTGGTGGGCTTCTTTAGAAATGTCTGTCAGGAAAGGCCTTGTAGAGGTTGTGACCATTGAACAGAGATTTTAGCCATGCTTTGGTCCAGAAAACAATGCGCAGAGCAGAGGGAACGGCACAGAGCAGAGGGAACGGCACACAGAAAGGCTGTGAGGCAAGAATGAGTTTGGTGTGTGTGACAGAAGGCCAGTGAGGGAGAACCGTAGCAAGAAAGGACAAGGAGCTCTACGAGATGGAGCCAGTTCTGTGAGATGGGGCCAGCTATGTGAGGGGACTCACCTGAAATGTGTTTGAAAAGAAGACCTAGAGACTGAGCTGGGTATCTGAATTTGGGGCTCAGGGAGGATGCTGGCAGTGGAATTACAAACACAGCAGTTATCAACCCACAGATGGGATGTAAAGCCAGGGACCTGGATGAAAGCTCACCTAGAGAGAGAGTGAAAATGAGAAGAGAAGGGAGACAAAATTCCTCTAATGAGGAACTTCTCCATGAGAGGTTAGACAGTGGAGGAGGAACCAGAAAAAAAGATTGAGAAGGACCAGTTTCTGAAGAAGGGAAAATCAGGAGAGGCTGGCCACACAAGCCAAGAGAGAAAGCACCTGTAACGGAGGTCCTCTCGTGTGTGTGTGTGTGTGTGTGTGTGTGTGTGTGTGTGTGTAGACAGGGTCTCACTCTGTTACCCAGGCTGGAATCTTGGCTCACTGCAGCCTCAGATTCCTAGGCTTAAGCCATCCTCCCACCTCAGCCTCCCAAGTAGCTAGGGTTCACACCACAATACCCAGCTAACTTTTGTATTTTTTTGTAGAGACGGGGTTTCGCCATATTTCTCAGGCTGGTCTTGAACTCCTGAGCTCAAGTGATCCGCCCACCTTGGCCTGACAAAGTACTGGGGTTACAGGTGTGCACCACCGCACCTGGCTCTCACTAGTGCTTCTTATCTACAGTTTTGCTTGTCACAGTTTCAGACCCACATTCAACTGTGATCCAAAAATATCAAATGGAAAATTCAGAAATAACTCATAAGTTTTAAATCACATCTTCTGGATGGTGTGATAAAATCCACCCTTCATCACAAGAAGTAGGGTAAATACAGTATAATAAGCTATTTTGAGAAAGAGAGAGGGGTACCACATTTACATAAGTTTTATCACAGTAAATTGTTATAATTATTTCATTTGATTATTAGTTATTGGTATTAATCTATTACTGTGCTTAATTTATACATTAAACTTGATCATATGTATGGATGAATAGGAAAAACATATGGAGTTTGGTACTATTTATAGTTTCAGGCATCCACTGGGGGTCTTGGTGGAACACATCCCCCATGGATAAGGGGGGACTGCTATATTTCCAGGAGAAAGTGGCCAATTCTGTCAAATACAGCTGAGTGGTCAAGTAAGAGGCACACACAGTTTATTTTTGCTTTGGTAAGATTGTGTTATTGCAGAGAGAAGAGGTGGAGACCTGACACAAGTGGGCTGGACAGAAAGTAGAAGGGGAATAAGTGCAAACAATGCCTGTGACAACCCCTAGAAATTTTGATGTGAAGGGGAGTAGAGAACCATGGGAGGGGCTCTGATGCTGCATAAGAGTGCATAATTGTAGAAGCAATGTCTGACAGTAGGAGAGAGGAAGTGGAATCTACTGCATAATTGAAGGGTTTGAACAGATATATCTATTATGCTGTAATAAGGAATGGTACAGGTGAAGGTAGGTTGATGGTGGGAAGGTGATTTATTCTTGCTTAACAACTTCAATTTTCAGTGATGCCTGAGGCAAGGTCCCCATCTGAGCATGAGCAAGCAGAGGAGCGTGAAAGGTTTAGGAAGAAAAGGAAGGGTTGCGATAGCTGTGTTAGAGAGGGAAAAAGCAGTTAGCTTTGGAATTGATTAGAGAGTATCAGGTGCCCATTTGAAACCTGCGGTCACAGGTTTAAAGTGAAATCAGTCTGCACAGTTGTGCAGCTTTCTTCAGTGATGTTAGGCTGCTTCAGTTGGATTTTGGAGTAATCCAGAGTCAAGTTTGATTACAGGCAGAATTTTGCTAGTTAAGTACAATAGGAAATGGACAAAAGAGTTACAGGTGTGATTATAGTGATGAACCATGGAATCTAAGCTGGATAAGGAAGATGAAGGAGGGTGATGTATCGTGGACAAACCGCAGGGCTAATGGACTGGAGATTCCGGTACACAAAAGAATCTTGGACTGCGGATTTTGCTCTAAAGGAGGTAAATCTGAAAGATGGTGTATGACGGTCAGAGAAGAGAATATTTCCAGTAGAAATGTAGAAGATGTAACAATTCATGATTTAAAACCCAGCTTCTCAACTATAGGGCAGTGGTTTTCAACTAGGGGTGATTTTGTGCTCCAGGAAACATTTGGCAACGTCTCAAGACAGTGTAGTTTGTCATAACTAGGGGAGAGCATGGCATTGGAAGTGGCTGCTACTGGCATCTGGTAGGCAGAGGCTGGAATGATGCCACGAAACACCCTATGACACACAGGACAGCTGCTCACAGCAAAGAGTCATCTGACCCAAAATATCAATAGTGTCAGTTTAGAAACCCTGATCCAGGGCATGTGTGGCTGGAATGGAGCAGAGGAAGAGTGGAGATAATTAAGAATTAAGAGATGAAGGTGGGAGATAGATAATGTTAATCAATTCTGAAGTTACCAAGAGTGAGGGCAGGAAGGGTGACCATGGGAATCATGGTATGAGGAAGACAGTCAGCAAGGTGCCGAATCTTTCGATGAACAAAAGGGAGTGACCAGGACATTGGGGGAAGATTACAAAAGAGGAGGAAGCAGATGACATAGTCTCATGCCACGTATTTGGAAGGAGCCAGGGATTTTGAAGCTGCAATAAAGAAATTGTATGTAAGTGCCAAGAGGGAGCACCTTATTGTCCCAAGTTTCCTGGGATGTGGGAAGAAAAAAATCTCTTCCTCTTGATCAAACTACAGGGAAAGCCCAGGACTCAGATCAAGAAGCTGAAGGGAAATTTAAGAGCCAGGGTTACCTGTCTTTTTCAAGAGGTCTTTTGTTTCAGCATTAAACCAAAACGATGCATAATTTCGTGGCTCATAACAAGTGCAGTGGAGGCATAGGTATAACTTATAGCAGAGCACTAATGCCTCTGGAAGACTATATTGAAGATGGATTTTTCTTTCTAGACAGTGATTTTTGAAACCTCTGGCTGGGCTATTTGGTCTCAAGTATTATATAGAAGGATAGTTCCCAAAGTGTGGTCCCCAAACCAGCAGCATCAGCATGACTGGAGAATTTGTTAGATGCAAATTCTTGTGCTCAACCCTGACCCATGAAATCAGAAACTATGGGGTGGAGCCCAGCAATCTGCTTTAACAAGCCCACCAGAATCTCCCACCAGGTGATTCGTATGCACATTACAATTTGAGAGTTACTGATATAAAAATAAACACTTGTGGGTGATTAAAGGGAACAATGAAATTAATTATTGAGTGCCGACTATAATCTCAAAGCTTTGTATGCACACTATAATTTCATCTTAACAGGAACCCAGAGAGGTAGGTATTATTATCTCTTTTTATTTATTGTGATAAAATATATATAAATACAATTTGCCATTTTAATCATTTTAAGTATATGATTCAGTGACATTAATTACTTTCACAGTATTATACAACTTTCACCACTATCCACCTCTAAGACTTTTTCATCACCCCAAGCAGAAATTCTCTAACTATGAAAAAATAACTCCCCATACCCCGTCTGCCCCCAGCTTCAGGCAATCTTGAATCTACCTTCTGTCTTTATGAATTTGCCTATTCTAGAAACTTCATACAAGTGGAATCATACAATATTTGTTATTTTGTATTTGGCTTATTTTACTCATTTGTCTTCAAAATTCATCCACATTGTGGTTTTTTGTTTGCTTGCTTGTTTTGTTTTGAGGCAGAGTTTCACTCTTGTTGCCCAGGCTGGAATGCAATGGTATGCTCTCGTCTCACTGCAACCTCCACCTCCCAGGCTCAAGTGGCCTGCCTCAGCCTCCCGAGTAGCTGGGATTACAGGCACCTGCCACCACACCTGGCTAATTTT